ACTAGATTTGACTCTGATGGGACAAAGATCCCGGCTCCCTCGACTCGGACGGCCACCGTACCTGCAAAAACCCAAAGTTCGAGACCCCGGGAGGGGTGCCCGGCTTTGGGCCTCCGATGCTTAAGTCAGTACAGGATTCATATGAGAGTGCATATAGAGAGAGAGTGTAGAGAGAAGAAGTGTAGTAAGTGAATGAGTAGAGAATATAGGAAATGAGTACCTTAGCCTCCCTTTTATAGGGGGAGTGTACCTTATAGTCCAAATTGGGCTTGGCCTAAATTGGGCTTGGCCCATATTATCATATCAAGTGTCTTAGCCCATGTATGGGCGTATTCTTCAATATATATCCATGAAAACCGGTCGGGTATGACATGTTATATCAGATACTACCGGTCGAGCCGGCGGTACTAGCTGTGGCTATATCATCTAGTCCCCCCCCAAAACTTACTCTACTGCGACTCGAGTTGTAGAGTAAGGCCTATTGGGAATTTTGGCATTTATAAAAGTTTGTAGTGTTTGAAAGAATATTTTTGTCGCTTCGTAATCCTTACTCCATTTTTATCTGTAGACTTGATTCTGATCTAAGGAATCGAAATCGTTAGGCTTTTGCACATATATGCCTTTTTTCAAATCATACGATTGTTCAACATTATTCGTTTCCCTTGGCCCAACTAACACAGGCCCAATTTAATGCTCCACGCTTGTTGTTCTTTCCTCTTCTCTTCTTCGCGATTTCCTTCTCGTCTTCACATAAATCGGCCGAGTTGTTGTTGTGACCATTTTTTTACGTTTTTTTGTTATTGTTTTATCATTTTTTTCCCCGTTTTATGTCTTTTAGTCGCTTTTTAGTTCGTTTCATAGTTTATTGTGTGTTTTCCTTTATTTTGGTATCTTTGTGTTTTTCGTGCATTTTTTTCTGTTTTTCTTCATTTTTGGTGTGCAGGTAGGAAGTCTCATGAGAAGTCGATTGTTGTTATGTGATTTTTAACAACGATGTAATTGATGATTAAGGGGATAATTTTGGATGATTTAGACGTAAAGCATGTAAGATTTACTCAACAATGGCCCCGGTCCGAGGTGAACCGAGGTGAAGAGCCGTGATGGGCTTTTACGTGTTGCTTAGTAAAGTTTTTTCAGTTCGGAGAGAGATCCCCGTACAAATGTCATGGGTTCACTATTTATAGTAATTTTTTGGGGATACATCGGGATTTGTGTTCTACTTTTTGGATAAAGTAGCTTTTGGTGGCGGTTCGGAGCAGTGGGTCCCGCATGAATGATGACAAATCTCGTGAGTGTGATGGGTGTGCGTATGCGCCTTGTCACCTGCTTGAGGAGGTGATGACCTCGGTTTGCATAGACCTCGGTGAACTTTAGTTACTTCGGTCTGTGGTGGTTCAGACCGGTTCTTTTGTGTAGATCGGTGCGGTTCTGATTCACGTCGGTTCAACAGTTAATCGCATTTAACAAGATGCTTAAAACCTCTTAACGATGTCTTGCCGAGTCGGATGATAACAGAGAGGCCCCCAACATCGATGGGCATACGGAGTGATGGTCGTTGATGTTGCCATGCCAGGTATTTAGAGACCCTGGATCGGCAAGAAGTCGGCGGTAGGATGTGGTCTATGGTCTTCGGTGGGTCATCTTCGGTCTATCTACCGATGTAACCGAAGTGGATCATCTGTCCGAAGTGTAGACTGTATGCCGAGGTGAGGACACTTGGTGAATTTCGGATAATCTTCAAGAAGTTATGACAGAAGAGGTGAACGGTCGTAACGGTCAACGAGTAAATGTTTAGGCCGAACGGTCGCGCCGTAATGGTCTTAAATGAGGTAACGGTCGACTTTAATAGGCAGCCACGTGTAACAGTAGGTGTTTTATCAGATGAAGAGGTGGCGTCGGTTAGAATTAGGGATCGCGTCGGTTCGACGCGCCCCCAATGAAGATACTCAACGGTCACAAATTGACGATTATAAATAGGGTTCAGCAATATCTGATCGGGTTTTCTTCACCTTTGCTTTTATTTTCGAGCTTTCATATCACTTGTTGTTTGAGTTCATCTGATATTCTGAAGAATCTTCCCTGCTTATTGTGAGTGTGCGGCATTTTCGGTAAGCGTTTTCTTCAATTTCTTTTGTCATTTCTTTTTGTATTCCGTTCAATCGTACGATGGCGCCGAAAGGGAAGGGAAAGGCAGTGGCTAGTTCATCAAGTACTGAGTCGATTCCGTTGGATGTTTACCACGATTCGGAATTGGTCGATTTGGCCTTCGAATACCACCGGTGGGACCCGTCGTTGGTAAGGCATTTGAATATCCA